GTCATCTTTACAAAGTAAAGCTCTTGGCATTTTTGTTTTCTTATACTTTTCTCCACCACAACAGGGCCAGCAAACAGCACTGGAGGCAACCGGCTAAAGGCAAATTCATGAATCAAAACCAAAAGGGGTAGATAGATGCTGTTGTTTTTGACAACCTAGAAATAATCTTGGAGAAATCCTTTGGAGAGGTCTTGAAGGGGAAGATCGGGTTTTATGGATTCAAAGAATGTGTCATGATTTGGCTTAATCTAAGCCATTTTTATTCCTCTTTTCTTGTGTTTGGGTCTATTATCTGTCTGCGGAATTTACACAGTGAGACCGCTGGAAGGTCTTATGTCTAATTATTTGCTGTGCTGTGTGGAGTGTACTGCAGACAATCAATAAACAATCAATAGTAATTGTAGCCTGCCTTGGAGACAAGCGTTAGAAGCTTCAACTGGCTTAGGTGCATGGTATTTTTCATTAATTTTCTTTTGCTAGTTTTTTTTTCTCCCCCTTGTAATTTAAAGCCTAAATTTAAAGATTAAACAGAAAGCTTTCTTTGCTTATGAGAACAAGCGGGCATTGTTTTTTAAAGAGGGACTATGTAATCCCAGGTGTTTCATTTCTGGTAATGAGAGCGATGTCTGTGTTTGCTTCAGATTGAATGCGCAGAGAAAGGGACAAGGCTATTTGCATGGTTAAATGACTATGAGCCCTTCATTCTGAAAGTAATATTCCCTTGATGTCAATTACTTTTGTACAGACATCTGGATGTTTATCATAAGAGTGTACAGATGTCAACTTTTTCTGTATTATTGCTGGAAATGTGGTGATTACTTGACTTTGATTTGAGTAAACATAAAATATCTAACATTTAAAGTCAGAAGTTCACTGCAGACAGGGATTTAGACTGACGTTTATTGAAGAGAGTAGTTCCTTAGGAAAAAAATCAGAACCCTTTCTAAAGAGACAGACACTTATAAAATAAACAAAGTCCTAGTTATGCTCTATTTAACAAATAAAATTTGAACATGACATTTATCTATTGCTTGAACTTGCAGAAACTGGCGCTGAAGATATTGACATACTTCCCAATGGTCTGGCTTTCTTGAGTGTGGTGAGTACTTTCTCCCTTCCCCAATCTCAGTGGAGGAGGTACAAGGAAGTTTTATGAGGCCTACAGAGCAATAACTTATTTTTTAAATTCCTCAGTTTCAAAGCCATGTTCTGAAAAAAAGGCAGGTTAAACAGGATCTTGGAAAATGTCCTCAAACTTATATAAATGTAGAGATGAAAAAAATCTTCATCAATTGATTGATTGCTCTTTATGTCCCCACTGCATTGCACTGAAATGTTCCAATGCAATCTGTGTTTTAAAAGTTTGTTATTGAAAAGGCTATTTTGGGCATTATTGTGAATGTTCAATACTATATTACACTATTTTATTTAGAGCACCTACCTTTCTTCCCATTAGATGTTCAACTTTGAGACCAATATTCTTGCCATTATTATTTATTTTCTAACAATATACCAAGTTCCCTAGACAAGCCAATGCTTTTTCTTTCTTCATTTTCCCCCTGAATAGCCTATCATAAGGGGGAAAGTCATTGGTGAGTTCATTTATACCGTTCACTTGTGCCTTAATTCTAATAAGCAGAAAAATAATAACCTTTAGGGCATTCAACTACATTAGAAAGACTTGAAAGTTGGTGGGCTAGTGTGATGCTGGCCTACACCAATATCAGTTGTAATTGGAATACTGTATAAGTGGGCTGATGAGGAAGTTCTGACCACCTTTCTCCCCTGGTTTGGGCCAAGGAGAGGGTCCTTGGCATCTCCATGGGTATGCTTTTTCTTAAGGAAGAAGTACAAGGTGTGATTTAAAAAAATAAGGTGAATGTTTAAATAAAAAAAAAATTTATGACAGTAAAAGACACATTGCCATTAATCCCTCTTAAAATACTCCCCCTCACTTTGAACACACTTATCCTATCATTCTTGCCACTTTCTGACGCAATTCTGGAAGTCCTCTTTTGCGTGTGTCTTTACTTCATCCTCCATCATGACTATGCTCCGTGTCACACATCACTTCTAGTACGGCAAGTTCTGTCAAATAAAAACATTACAGTGTGTCATTCTTGCCACTTTCTGACACAATTCTGGAAGTCCTCTTTTGCATGTGTCTTTACTTCATCCTCCATCATAACTATGCTCCGTGTCACACATCACTTCTAGTACGGCAAGTTCTGTCAAATAAAAACATTACAGTGTGTCCTCATCCACGTTATTCACCTGATCTGGCACCTTGTGACTTCCGGCTCTTCCCCAAAGTCAAAATGACCATGAAAAGTAAATGTTTTGAATCAATTCAGGACATCAAGGCAGCCATGACAGCACAACTAAAGACACAAAAGAGGACTTCCAGAGCTGTTTCAGAAAATGGTGAGAACGATGGGATAAGTGTGTTCGAAGCAGGGGAGTATTTTTGAGAAGTATTCATGGCGATGTGTCTTTTACTATAATATATATATATATATAATATATATATTATATATATTATATATATATATATATATTTTAATTTAAACATTCACTGTATTTTGTGATTACATCTCATATCTGACTTTGAAAGCAGCCTGTAATTATCCTGTTTGCTCTCAGCATCCATTATTTTCAGGCTCTGAGACTCAAAGAGAGATGTGAAAAAGTTGGAGATGCTTTAGAAGAGAGTCACAACACTAATAAAATAGTTGTCAGACTTATGAGAAAGGTGAGAGAACTGAGCTTAGATGAGAATGAGGGTTAGATTGTTCTTCAGGCTCCTGGTGGTTTTTATATGAAAGGCTGTGAGCAGCTGGCTGTTACCACTGAGGGAAAAAAGAAATACTATGGACCCTGTCAGAAACACTAATATTTATATTAAATCTTNTTTTTTAACAGGCATCGGCTTAAAGCCTACAGAGAAGTAGAATCCATAGACTTTCCAAACTGCCACCTGATTAAAGGCATCGGTAAGCATGAGAAAACGCTTGTTATACACCTTACAGTTTTGGCCACCAACACTCAAATACTCATTAACAGTATTTTGGCACGCAATTACTGTTTATCAGAGGAGAAATCGCATTAGATCAACACACTCTTCAGCCAATCTGTTTTGATCTCATGCACCCTGTATTTCTTCTTCTCTCTTACTGTCACTGTAACTTTAATTATTTGTATAATCCTATATTTATTGTTTGATTTCTTATTTGCTTAGTGACTTTTCTGAGTTATTTTTTGTAAAGTCTGTATTCCTTGTCGTGTGGCCACAGAGATCTGTGTTCCATGAGCCTAGTAGTCAGCTCGTGAAGGTAAGACAGAAGGAAAAGAAGTTATAAAATGGAAAATAAAAACCTCTCAACAAAACCTCTATCCCCCACAGAAATACCCCAAGAGATGAAGTTTCTTTCTTATCCTTCCTGATATTTCCAATGCAAACGCAAACAAACACAGGCATACCTCAGAGAGGTATTGCAAGTTCAGTTCCAGACCATTGCCATAAAGTAAGTATCGCCATAAAGCTAGCTGCAATCCTTTTGCTGGTAAAGGGCCTTGATTTCAATTTGTAAAAAACAGTAATATAAGGTGTGCCTGTATAAGCACATACATACCTCTCTCATTTTTTTCCACCAATGGCATCTTCGTGTAAGATTATATTCTGCAGCCTGCTTTATTCCAAATGCACCGTGAACAGCTTTCCACATCAACACATGTAGATACACCTCATTCTTTTTAGTATTTACAGGTACCATGATTTATCCAACCAATTCCCTCTTAATGCACATTTGGATGGTTGCAGTTTTTTGCACCTACAAACAAATGAGTGTGAACATCATTGTGTGTGTAACTGTTGTATTTGTCTGTCTGTAGGAGAAATCCTCAACTGTGGGACTGTCCTTCAGTTAGTGAGTACGTTTAAAGTTTTGATAGTCATTGCTACATTGCCCTCGAGTTGGTAACACTCATACACTCAGTACCTCATATTTATAACCACATGCTCTCCAGACCAGAGTTCACAGTGCTCTTTTAGCAAAAGCAAAGTAGCGATCCTTCTTGATCACAAACAAAAAGGCTTCACTTTCATGAACCCTATAGTTTTCAGAAGAGATTTTTCCACTTCAAAGTTTCTTTCTGTTCTGTTGCTCACCTCTCCTTTTTTGCACATCTGTTTTATAAATGTTCTTTCTCTTGTTTTCTGTTGCTACTTTTCTACTTTTCCCTATTCTATCTCCCTTCAGGAGGCTCCTTCGCTTGTTTCTTCTGGCGCTTTCCTTTTTTTCAACTGCCCAAACAGCAGGAGGATACAAACTCAGTATCAAATACCAGATTGACTAGGTCTGTGCTGGATAATGCAAACAATTCTAGAACTATGGTCTGGAATCCCAAGACACTCAGCAATGCATCCTGCCTTCTGGCTGCCATCACGAAGGGCCCCCTCAGAATTGGTCACTAAGCAATGGCCAGATGGCATCTGGGAGGGACGTTGGGAGGTTGAGTCAGTGATCTCTAAGGTTACTTTTGCTACTGAGTTAATAATCGTCAAATTATTAAGCAGCTCTTGGCTTTGCAAAGCCCACCTTCTGTGAATTCACATCTCAGAGGAGACAATAGGGCACAACCAGGCACATTATAGGACAGACTGCCAAATGTATTGCTGTTACAACTCACTGGGATGGAGGACTCCTCAGAGAAAAATAAGCCCAACAACATTTGTATTCTGAACAAGCGTCTGTCTGTGTTTGTGACCTTTATGTTGTGATGTGTGTGAGCTGCTGTCTGGAATTGGAAAGAATGAGGGAATATGTCACCTATGGCCCCTCTTGTGAAGTGTTTAATGCCTCCGAGGCACTTCAAAAGGCAACAGAGCGAAGACAATGAGTGATTAGAAGCACATTTGGGATCCATTTTTAGATCTAATTAGAATTGTGCCTTTTTTTTCCTTTCATTTTTCCTTTTGTTCTGTGGTTAGCACACACTATATGAACATTTGTTGAATGCTATGTTAGCAATGCATAATGGTTAATAATAGCTTGTGGTTATATGTTTTTAACAACAGTTGCTTATTTGGTGATCTTTGATTACAAGGAATAACAGTGTGCTGGGATGCTTTCCCATCTAGGCAAAAGCAACTTCTTGTGGTGTGCAGCAGGGTAGAGAGGCTCTCACTGTTAGTTTCCACTTTGGAAAGAGTAGTAGTTATAGACTTGAGGCCAAGTTATCCCTCTAAGAGGTAAGACCACTGCCCCTTGCCCCCCTACCTCACACACACACACACACACACACACACACACACACACACTGCAATGCTACACTTACCATGACTGGAAATGAACTCTTTGCCACTCCTGGATGCTTTATACATATCATATCATATCCTGCCTTTCTGTTTTAATAAATAATAATCATCTGCCACATATCATACAGGATGTGTACCTTCTTGGGACAGAAAGTAAGTGGACTATTTATTTCATTTTTTGTATTCCTTCCCAGTGTTTCTTACAGATGGAAGCTAAGCTTAAGCACACCCAAGATTTGGCATAATACCAACATCTAAATAATAAAAATTATATTGACAAGAGTTCGTTAACTCTACTTGAAGCTTAAAAGTTTAACACATTTTCTAAATGTCTTTGAAAAGGTTAGCATTCAGAGTCCTGGACTTAAACAAAATTTTGAATGTATTGTCTCTCGAGTTAATTAACAATTTTATATACTTAGCAATCAAGACCTTTACAATAACTGCTGCTTGGTAAGTTAAAAAAAAACACATTAAAATTTGTAGCACTTGTCATCAAGTACTTTACAATCTACCTACAGATAGGAAAACAACAAAAACCCACTACTGTGAGAGATAGATATCTTTTTTCTTTTTACAAGAAATAAGGACCCAAGGCTTGGCTTGGACAGGTTAAGTAACTTTTGCAGATTCTCTTTCTTATATAGTATCTTCACCCAAAGTGATCAACACACATACCTGACTAGTGAACTAAAAAAAGTGGAAAAACAGGCTACATTACGTACTGGATAATCTATCGAGTATGGCAAGGGCTGATTTGCCTGGTACTTGGTAAACAATATATGTTAGCAGCTATTACTATTACTACTACTACTATTTTTATTATTGAAGAAAAATTTTTTCCAGTGTTGACTACCCTTGCAGTAATCACACCAAAGAGGTGATATGAGATGATAAAGGCCTATTGTAGTGATAGCTATAGAAATGAAGATGGGAGAAGAGACCTTGAAAATATTCAAAACATAGCTATAGATAAGATTATTTTTCTTCTTGGAATTAGACATAAGATTAAACAGGAAGAAGTTACAATGAAGTGGAAATGAAAATATATTTTAAAAACATTTTTCTGTTTGATTACTAAAATACTGTTATTCGTGGAAAATTTTAAACAAAAATGTATAAAGGAGAAAGTAAAAATCACTCACAATCTTACCATCCAAAGAAACATTGTTAATTTTTTCTGTATATCTTTTTATCTGTGTGTAAGCATGTACACATTGAAATTAAATTGTCTAAAATAATTTTTCAAGAACAACAAATTTTAATTAATTGAGCTCCTCCTACCAAATGGATCCAGAAAGCACAACTTGGCCTAGAATTCTGTGTGAGCGTGTGTGTGTGTGTGTGTGTGTGTGTGTGTGTGTGTGTGTGTGTGTGTGGTATAGAGTTCCTCTGGTCCTTACCCATTACCAGTTGAGAACCACCATGGGACTAGAGTCTAGTGGTTCTAATCCATCTGGGGGTATCACAGACCCTTTTTTTGAGTCTGCTGAAAACTCAGACCCTTTTCACAGAAGATTTCTCGTCTGTACATATAGAAGACATTTTGCATTGCATAGAATTTCAAAAGATTCATAGACTCTTTGAAACCCATTT